TTTCGGTCATATTTAATAATATATATATATATATATATGTGTGTATATCTCGAAAATAAACACGTGATTAAGAATGTGACAATGTCAGACCACGGAGGAAAATGAAACAGGAAATTTCCTTAAGTACTTTCGTATATTAAATACATCTTCAGAAGGACCTTCTGAAGATGTATTTAATATAATATATATATATATATATATATATATATATATATATATATATATATATATATGTCGTACCTAGTAGCCAGAACTCACTTCTCAGCCTACTATTCAAGGCCCGATTTGCCTAATAAGCCAAGTTTTCCTGAATTAATATATTTACTATAATTTTTTTCTTATGAAATGATAAAGCAACCTTTTCTCTATGTATGAGGTCAATTTTATTTTATTGGAGTTAAAATTAACGTAGATATATGACCGAACCTAACCAACCCTACCTAACCTAACCTAACCTATATTTATAGGTAAGGTTAGGTTAGGTAGCCAAAAAAAGCTAGGTTAGGTTAGGTTAGGTAGGTTAGGTAGACGAAAAAACATTAATTCATGAAAACTTGGCTTATTAGGCAAATCGGGCCTTGAATAGTAGGCTGAGAAGTGCGTTCTGGCTATTAGGTACGACATATATATATATATATATATATATATATATATATATATATATATATATGTCGTACCTAGTAGCCAGAACGCACTTCTCAGCCTACTATGCAAGGCCCGATTTGCCTAATAAGCCAAGTTTTCATGAATTAATTGTTTTTCGACTACCTAACCTACCTAACCTAACCTAACCTAACTTTTTCGGCTACCTAACCTAACCTAACCTATAAAGATAGGTTAGGTTAGGTTAGGTAGGGTTGGTTAGGTTCGGTCATATATCTACGTTAATTTTAACTCCAATAAAAAAAATTGACCTCATACATAATGAAATGGGTAGCTTTATCATTTCATAAGAAAAAAAATTGAGAAAATATATTAATTCAGGAAAACTTGGCTTATTAGGCAAATCGGGCCTTGCATAGTAGGCCGAGAAGTGCGTTCTGGCTACTAGGTACGACATATATATATATATATATATATATATATATATATATATATATATATATATATATATATCGTACCTAATAGCCAGAACGCACTTCTCAGCCTACTATTCAAGGCCCGATTTGCCTAATAAGCCAAGTTTTCATGAATTAATGTTTTTTCGTCTACCTAACCTACCTAACCTAACCTAACCTAGCTTTTTTGGCTACCTAACCTAACCTTACCTATAAATATAGGTTAGGTTAGGTTAGGTAGGGTTGGTTAGGTTCGGTCATATATCTACGTTAATTTTAACTCCAATAAAAAAAATTGACCTCATACATAGAGAAAAGGGTTGCTTTATCATTTCATAAGAAAAAAATTATAGTAAATATATTAATTCAGGAAAACTTGGCTTATTAGGCAAATCGGGCCTTGAATAGTAGGCTGAGAAGTGAGTTCTGGCTACTAGGTACGACAATATATATATATATATATATATATATATATATATATATATATATATATATATATATATATATATATATATATATATATATATATATACTATATATATATATATACTATATAGATGTCACGTCTGTGACGGGAAAAAACATGCTTTTTTGAAAAACAGTGCCATCTGTTGGACGTAAGAGCAACACACGCTGTAATCTCCAAAAGTTCTTCACCGATTGCTTTGAAATTTTGACACAACGTTCCATTCAAATATGTGCATGTTTTTATATACCTACCATGTACATGCCACACCTGTGACAGGTAAAAACATGCGTTTTTTAAAAACAGCGCCATCTGTTGCCAGTAAGAGCAAGACACGATATAAAAAATATGTTACGATTCCATTTCAATGTTTCCGATTGCATTGATAAATAAAATTTTCATAGATTTTTATTTATTTTCATTTTGGTTTAATTATTGTGTGTGACGTTGCGCTGGAATTGAGCTGTGTTGTTTACCATACCGTTAATTTCGTGGGTATAGCTTATTTGTTTCTTTTTTCATTTTTTTCCTTTCGTTTTCTTAACTGTTCTTCTTATTTTCAGTGTAATTGTTGGTGAAATTGAGCTGTGTCGATTGATCTGCATTTGAATTGAAATATTTCTTTAGTATTTTTTGTTTTTGTTTTGAAAACAAGAAAATGGACAACACGTTTATTACACAGCTGCAAATGTGCAACAAACAGCTATGAATCCACCGGCTACAATGTCAACTGCTTTCTTCACCTTATGTCATAATGACGCCTTTGTGAAAACACTGCTGTATTCGGAAGTGCCTACGTATTACACAAGGAATGTCAGTAGAAAATCATTTGAACGACGCAAACGAGGAGACCGAGTCGACGGACAACCTGGCATATTCAAATAAACTACGATAGGCAGACTGTACACCGTGCATCCCAATCAGGATGAATGCTTTTTTCTTCGCATGCTGTTGGTAAATGTGTCTGGTCCAATGTCTTTCCAACAATTGAGATTTGTCAACGGCGTAACACATGCCACTTTCCGTAGTGCATGTCAAGCTCGGAATTTATTGGAGAACGACCGACACTGGGATGTATGCATTAATGACGCGTCCAACACGTCACATCCAAATCAAATTCGTGCATTGTTTGCAGTCATATTGACCTCCGGCTCTCCTTCATCTCCAACAGAGTTATGGGAGAAATATAAATCGCACATGGCTGAAGATATTATACATCGAATACAAAGGAAAATTTAAATGTGAACATGGATTTCACAGCAGAAATCTAAAACGAAGCGTTGATAATGATTGAAGATTTGTGCTTAGAAATCGCGAACAAAGTTCTCATTCAAATGGAAATGCCATCACCGAATAGATCTGCTGCTGCTTCATTCGATGTAGAATTGCGTCGTGAACAAAATAACAACACGGGTGATATGTTGTCGTATCGGCAGTCAAATATTCCTGAGCTAATGTTTGAGCGAAAAGGCATTTACAATCAAATAATTCAAACTGTCAATAACGGGTTTCCTAATTAGATTGATTCTGGCAGCATTTCGATCCCAAAATGGCATAAGCTTAGTTCTTGCCTCGTCTGGAATAGCTGCGACATTGTTACCAGGTGGAAGAACTGCTACTTCGGCTTTGAAATTGCCATTGAACATGCAATTCATTGAAACTCCCACGTGCAACATTTCCAAAGCATCCGGCATGGGAAAAGTATTGCAGAAATGTAAACTTATTGTTTTGGATAAATGCACAATAGCCCACAAAAAATCATTCGAGGCTCTTGATTGATCATTGCAAGATTTGCGTGGAAACATCACACCATTTGGGAACACATTAATATTACTTGCAGGAGATTTCAGGCAAACATTACCTGTAATTCCTCAATACAAATCCGTCGACACTATTAAGGAAGCAGATGAAGCGGTTAATTATCCAACAGAATTTTTTAATTCACTGGATCTGCCAGGGATGCCACCACACGTACGGCAATTGAACATCAGCGTGCCGATTATCATGTTGCGAAATATCAATCAGCTAAAGCTTTGCAACGCCATGCGCCTTCCTATAAAAAAAAATAATCAGCAACATCGTAGAAGCAACAATCTTGACAGGACCTTTCAAAGGTGAAGATGTCCTCACTCCTCGCATTCCTATGATTCCAACAGATATGCCATTTCAATTTCAATTTAAGATATTGTAATTTCCAACTCGATTGTCGTTTGCAATCACCATCAACAAAGTTTAGGGATAATCTTTAGAATGGTGCAGTTTATATCTAGACACAGAATGGCTCTCATAGGGACGATTATATGTTGCGTGTTCTAGAGTCGGTAAACCAGACAATCTCTATATCTCCACAGACAATGTTGCGTGTTCTAGAGTCGGTAAACCAGACAATCTCTATATCTCCACAGACAATGTTGCGTGTTCTAGAGTCGGTAAACCAGACAATCTCTATATCTCCACAGACAATGTTGCGTGTTCTAGAGTCGGTAAACCAGACAATCTCTATATCTCCACAGACAATGTTGCGTGTTCTAGAGTCGGTAAACCAGACAATCTCTATATCTCCACAGACAATGTTGCGTGTTCTAGAGTCGGTAAACCAGACAATCTCTATATCTCCACAGACAATGTTGCGTGTTCTAGAGTCGGTAAACCAGACAATCTCTATATCTCCACAGACAATGTTGCGTGTTCTAGAGTCGGTAAACCAGACAATCTCTATATCTCCACAGAACAACAACAAATATTGTATACCCACAAGTATTGTAATTAAACATATTAGAAACGTGCACTTTCTCTTTTCTTTCTTTTCTATTTAACCAGACTGAGCCACAGCAACGCATGGCGGGTACAGCTAGTATATATATATATATATATATATATATATATATATATATATATATATATATATATATATATATATATATATATATATATATATATATATATAATTTTTATAATATATATGTATAAATAGTAGCCTTAGACACGGTTATCATCATTCGATGATTCACGGGATAATGCGGTTATCATCATATAACGTGTTCAACAATTACTGTTTGGGGGGTTTACATGTATGATGCAAATATGGGTATAATTGCTGCTCTATGTGTATGCAATAGAGTTTACCATGACCCATCAACAAAATCGTACTTCCATTTGATAGTTACGTGTACTAGGAGGAGCCTGCTGTCATGTGTGTACTCACCTATTTGTGCCTGCAGGATCGAGCATTGACTCTTGAATCCCGCCTTTCCAGCCATCGGTTGTTTACAGCAATGACTCCAGTCCTATTTCCCTATCATATCTAGTTTTAAAATTATGAATAGAGTTAGCTTCCACAACCTGCTACTTGAGTGCATTCCATTTTCCCACTACTCTCACGCTAAACGAAAACTTCCTAACATCTCTGTGACTCATCTGAGTTTCCAGCTTCCACCCATGTCCCCTCGTTCTGTTACTATTCCGTGTCAACATTTCGTCTATGTCCACTTTGTCAATTCCCCTAAATATTTTAGATGTTTCTATCATATTTCCTATTTCCCTCCTATTTTCCTATCGTCGTCAGGCTCAGTTCCTTCAGGCGTTCTTCATACCCCATCCCTCGTAACTCTGGCACGATCCTTGTCGCAAATTCCTGAACCTTTTCCAGTTTTTTTATGCGTTTCTTAAAGTGGGGATTCCACAATGGTGCAGCATACTCTAAGACTGGTCTCACGTAGGCAGTGTAAAACTCCCTAAAAGCCTCCTTACTAAGGTTTCTGAATGATGTTCTAACTTTTGCCAGTGTAGAGTACGCTGCTGTCGTTATCCTATTTATATGTGCCTCAGGAGTTAGATTAGGTGTTATGTCCTCACCCAGGTCTCTTTCTCGCGTCGTTACAAGTAGGCAGTTCCCTTCATTGTGTATTGTCCCTTTGGTCTCCTACCACCTGATCCCATTTCCATAACTTTACATTTGCTCGTGTTGAACTCCAGTAGCCATTTCTCTGACGATCTCTGCAACCTGTTCAGGTCCTCTTGGAGGATCCTACAATCCTCATTTGTCACAACTCTTCTCATTAATTTCGCATCATCAACGAACATCAACATAAAGGACTCTACTCATGTAAACATGTCGTTCACGTACATTAGAAATAGAATTGGTCTCGGCACTGATCCTTGAGGTACTCCACTCGTTACTGTCGCCAGTCCGACTTCTCGCCCCTTACCGTTACTCTCTGGCTCCTTCCTGTTAGGTAATTCCTTACTCATGCATACCCATGTTTTTTTTCCGCTTACTCCTGCCTGCCTCTCAAGTTTGAATAGCAGTCTCATGTGCAGTACTATATCAAAGTCTTTTTGGCAGTTGTCGGAAAACCCGACACCATTTAATAATATTACATACAGGCAGATAATATTGCTGCCGTTGTATACACAAGTTACCCCATAGAAAATATAGCTTGTAGTGGAATTTTCCGTCAATAGAAAACGGGATATCATTGCCATATACTATTATAAATTTACCAGCTATTCTGTTGGGAGTTATTCTTAAATACATTAGTCTTTGGACTTTTACCATCATAAAAACATCTCATTTTTTTTTTTTTTTTTTTTTTTTTTTTTTTTTTTTTTTTTTTTTTTTTTTTTAGATATATAGAAGAGTTGTTACATTCTTGTACAGTCACTAGTACGCGTAGCGTTTCGGGCAGGTCCCTGGAATACGATCCCCTGCCGCGAAGAATCGTTTTTTCATCCAAGTACACATTTTACTGTTGCGTTAAACAGAGGCTACAGTTAAGGAATTGCGCCCAGTAAATCCTCCCCGGCCAGGATACGAACCCATGACATAGCGCTCGCGGAACGCCAGGCGAGTGTCTTACCACTACACCACGGAGACTGCAAACTTCATTCTGCAAATTCACTTAATTATCAGTATCAAAATAAGGTAAATGTGACCCTTCTATCAGTTACTGACATCTCTACAAAGTGAGGGAGGCGTCAGTGGTGAGGATGAATTGGTCAGCCATTGTTGTTAGACCAGAGTCGTGGGGCAAATTCAGCTCCTATAAATTCTCTTGGACGAAGTGTTATGGAGACCAAAGTTCTGCCATCATCAACACGCTGTCAACAATCACAAGGGAAGTGTTTTTCCGAAACCCGTTTATCTAATCATTTTTGGCCATTAATGTTAGGTAGATATTGGGCGAACCGGTGAGAACACAAATGATCGACTCAAAAAAAGTAATTAAGCCTTGGCCCTTATGATTCATTATACAGTGTTTTCTCTGATATAGCTGTCATATATTAGGATTCTGGCTTTACAGCTAGCGCCCTTTGACAGGTCAAGAAGAGGAAGCAAACTTGGTATATCAGTTACCAGGGTGATGGAAGCTAGCCTCAATCGAGGATAATTTGGTGTCAACATCCTGGTTATACCTGGTGGACTAAGCCTGCTGTACAATAAGATAAGGAACCTCCTCACTGTATAACAATATATGTAGTTTAATACTGTAATTTGATTGGCTGTATATATAAATTTAATATAAACCCCCCTAATGTGTATGGATCGATTTGTGAGATTATTGCAGAAATACAGTCCACTTAACATCATACCAATTGCTATCGAAATATATAAATTAATGTAAATATAAATTCTATATAAATTCATATAAATTAAATATAAATCTCACAGGTCGGTTCCCACAGCAGTCCAAAAATATGGAGTCTGCCCATCTGCCCATCCGACCAGGAAGCCGGTCGGCCGAGCGGACAGCACGCTGGACTTGTGATCCTGTGGTCCTGGGTTTGATCCCAGGTACCGGCGAGAAACAATGGTCAGAGTTTCTTTCACCCTATGCCCCTGTTACCTAGCAGTAAAATAGGTACCTGGGTGTTACTCAGCTGCCACGGGCTGCTTCCTGGGGGTGGAGGCCTGGTCGAGGACCGGGCCGCGGGGACACTAAAAAGCCCCGAAATCATCTCAAGATAAGGAATCCTTCTCTGTCCTACCTAATCCTTGTTATATTATCAAAGAATTCCAGAAGGTATGTTAGGTATGAGTTCCCTTCCCTGGACTCATGTTGGTGTTTGTTTACATATCAAATTCTCTAAGTGTGTAACCAGTCATAATCTGATTATACTTGTAAGTACTTTGCAGGGGATGTTTGCCAGTGATACTGGTCTGTAGTTAAGGGCCTCTTACCAATCTCCATTCATGAAAATTTTGCTTTCTTCCACTATCTGGGCAACTCTCCCTTTGTAAGTGACTTATAAACGTTCCTTGCTAGAGGTAGGCTGAGGGCCTGCCACACCCTTGCTAGAGGTAGGCTGAGGGCCTGCCACACCCTTGCTAGAGGTAGGCTGAGGGCCTGCCACACCCTTGCTAGAGGTAGGCTGAGGGCCTGCCACACCCTTGCTAGAGGTAGGATGAGGGCCTGCCACACCCTTGCTAAAGGTAGGCTGAGGGCCTGCCACACCCTTGCTAGAGGTAGGCTGAGGGCCTGCCACACCCTTGCTAGAGGTAGGCTGAGGGCCTGCCACACCCTTGCTAGAGGTAGGCTGAGGGCCTGCCACACCCTTGCTAGAGGAAGGCTGAGGGTCTGCCACACCCTTGCTAGAGGAAGGCTGAGGGCCTGCCACACCCTTGCTAGAGGTAGGCTGAGGGCCTGCCACACCCTTGCTAGAGGTAGGCTGAGGGCCTGCCACACCCTTGCTAGAGGAAGGCTGAGGGTCTGCCACACCCTTGCTAGAGGATGGCTGAGGGTCTGCCACACCCTTGCTAGAGGAAGGCTGAGGGCCTGCCACACCCTTGCTAGAGGTAGGCTGAGGGCCTGCCACACCCTTGCTAGAGGAAGGCTGAGGGTCTGCCACACCCTTGCTAGAGGAAGGCTGAGGGCCTGCCACACCCTTGCTAGAGGTAGGCTGAGGGCCTGCCACACCCTTGCTAGAGGAAGGCTGAGGGTCTGCCACACCCTTGCTAGAGTACCAGTGTATAGTGTGAGTGGGCCCACCACCAGTGTATAGTGTGAGTGGGCCCATCACCAGTGTATAGTGTGAGTGGGCCCACCACCAGTGTATAGTGGGAGTGGGCCCACCACCAGTGTATAGTGTGAGTGGGCCCACCACCAGTGTATAGTGTGAGTGGGCCCACCACCAGTGTATAGTGTGAGTGGGCCCACCACCAGTGTATAGTGGGAGTGGGCCCACCACCAGTGTATAGTGTGAGTGGGCCCACCACCAGTGTATAGTGTGAGTGGGCCCACCACCAGTGTATAGTGTGAGTGGGCCCACCACCACTGTATAGTGTGAGTGGGCCCACCACCAGTGTATAGTGGGAGTGTGCCCACCACCAGTGTATAGTGGGAGTGTAGTCGTGTCTCTGCTCCTCCATGTGGCGGTGGAGGACAACACCTGGTAAACCATCACTTGTAACAACTCTTATTCAAACAACTGTGTTATGTGAGTTAGGTTATTTATCAAGTTATTCAACACACGTACTCGTGTAAGTGAAGGGAAACACGTGATAAACAACCACCATGTCTCCCAACCACGTGCTGCATGTCTCCCAACACGTGCTGCATGACTCCCAACCACGTGCTGCATGTCTCCCAACCACGTGCTGCATGTCTCCCAACCACGTGCTGCATGTCTCCCAACACGTGCTGCATGTCTCCCAACACGTGCTGCATGTCTCCCAACCACGTGCTGCATGTCTCCCAACCACGTGCTGCACGTCTCCCAACCACGTGCTGCATGTCTCCCAACCACGTGCTGCACGTCTCCCAACCACGTGCTGCACGTCTCCCAACCACGTGCTGCACGTCTCCCAACCACGTGCTGCATGTCTCCCAATACGTGCTGCATGTCTCCCAACCACGTGCTGCACGTCTCCCAACCACGTGCTGCATGTCTCCCAACCACGTGCTGCATGTCTCCCAACCACGTGCTGCATGTCTCCCAACACGTGCTGCATGTCTCCCAACCACGTGCTGCACGTCTCCCAACCACGTGCTGCATGTCTCCCAACCACGTGCTGCATGTCTCCCAACCACGTGCTGCATGTCTCCCAACCACGTGCTGCATGTCTCCCAACCACGTGCTGCATGTCTCCCAATACGTGCTGCATGTCTCCCAACACGTGCTGCATGTCTCCCAACCACGTGCTGCATGTCTCCCAACCACGTGCTGCATGTCTCCCAACCACGTGCTGCATGTCTCCCAACCACGTGCTGCATGTCTCCCAACCACGTGCTGCACGTCTCCCAACCACGTGCTGCACGTCTCCCAACCACGTGCTGCATGTCTCCCAACCACGTGCTGCATGTCTCCCAACCACGTGCTGCATGTCTCCCAACCACGTGTTGCACGTCTCCCAACCACGTGCTGCACGTCTCCCAACCACGTGTTGCACGTCTCCCAACCACGTGCTGCATGTCTCCCAACCACGTGTTGCACGTCTCCCAACCACGTGCTGCATGTCTCCCAACCACGTGCTGCATGTCTCCCAACCACGTGTTGCATCTTTAGTGTTGAACTTATCTGCGGCTTGAGGCTTACTATTGTGGAGAAGCAGCAGTGACGTGACCAGGGCCCGGGGTGCCACGGACACGTGGCCAGGGCCCGGGGTGCCACGGACACGTGGCCAGGGCCCGGGGTGCCACGGACACGTGACCAGGGCCCGGGGTGCCACGGACACGTGACCAGGGCCCGGGGTGCCACGGACACGTGACCAGGGCCCGGGGTGCCACGGACACGTGACCAGGGCCCGGGGTGCCAGGGACACGTGGCCAGGGCCCGGGGTGCCAGGGACACGTGGCCAGGGCCCGGGGTGCCACGGACACGTGGCCAGGGCCCGGGTGCCAGGGACACGTGACCAGGGGTGACCAGGGCCCGGGGTGCCACGACACGTGACGTGACCAGGGCCCGGGGTGCCACGGACACGTGACCAGGGCCCGGGGTGCCAGGACACTGGCCAGGGCCCGGGGTGCCACGGACACGTGGCCAGGGCCCGGGTGCCACGGACACGTGCCAGGGCCGGGGTGCCACCAGGGCCCGGGGTGCCAGGGACACGTGGCCAGGGCCCGGGTGCCACGGACACGTGGCCAGGGCCCGGGGTGCCACGGACACGTGACCAGGGCCCGGGGTGCCACAAACACGTGGCCAGGGCCCGGGGTGCCACGGACACGTGACCAGGGCCCGGGGTGCCACGGACACGTGGCCAACAATTCAGGAAACTACGAGTTTCACAATACTGTGAGAGGCTGCTTCAGGGGCAGATGTTAGTGAGTATGTCATTACATGCACATGTGTGTATGTACACACATGTGTGTCCATGTGTGCATGTCCACATGTGTGACCATGTGTGCATGTACACATGTGTGTCCATGTGTGCATGTACACATGTGTGTCCATGTGTGCATGTACACATGTGTGACCATGTGTGCACGTACACATCACACAGGAGGAGGTGATCAGGGGTACGAAGTATGGGGAGACGTGGTGGTTGAGGTGCAGGCTGGCACCCAGCCACCAAGGCCACCACAGATAATATATACACCCAGCTATTGTGTGCGTGTTGATCTGCCTTGTTGCAACCTGCCGGCCTGCACGCCCGGCTCTCACTTATAAGAAACATTTGTCTCTAGGGTTATATTACGGAGCACTCGGTAGCCTGGCGGAGAACCGGTTGTGTAGCCCCCACCACCACCGTCCAGGGGCTCCGTGACCGCCCACCCCCTTGTAGCCCCCACCACCACCACCGTCCTGGGGCTCCGTGACAGCCCACCCCTTCGTAGCCCCCACCACCACCACCACCGTCCAGGGGCTCCGTGACCGCCCACCCCCTTGTAGCCCCCACCACCACCACCACCGTCCAGGGGCTCCGTGACCGCCCACCCCCTTGTAGCCCCCACCACCACCACCACCGTCCAGGGGGCCGCGTGACAGCCCAGCCCCTCGTAGCCCCACCACCACCACCACCGTCCAGGGGCTCCGTGACTGCCCACCCCCTCGTAGCCCCCACCACCACCGTCCAGGAGCCCCGTGACAGCCCAGCCCCTCGTAGCCCCCACCATCACCACCACCGTCCAGGGGCTCCGTGACAGCCCAGTCCCTCGTAGCCCCCACCACCACCACCACCGTCCAGGGGCTCCGTGACCGCCCACCCCTTCGTAGCCCCCACCACCACCACCACCGTCCAGGGGCTCCGTGACCGCCCACCCCCTTGTAGCCCCCACCACCACCACCACCATCCAGGGGCTCCGTGACCGCCCACCCCCTTGTAGCCCCCACCACCACCACCACCGTCCAGGGGCTCCGTGACAACCCAGCCCCTCGTAGCCCCCACCACCACCACCGTCCAGGGGCTCCGTGGCAACCCAGCCCCTCGTAGCCCCCACCACCACCACCACCGTCCAGGGGCTCCGTGACCGCCCACCCCCTTGTAGCCCCCACCACCACCACCACCGTCCAGGGGCTCCGTGACCGCCCACCCCCTTGTAGCCCCCACCACCACCACCACCGTCCAGGGGCTCCGTGACCGCCCACCCCCTTGTAGCCCCCACCACCACCACCACCGTCCAGGGCCCCGTGACAGCCCAGCCCCTCGTAGCCCCCACCACCAACCACCACCACCGTCCAGGGGCTCCGTGACTGCCCACCCCTCGTAGCCCCCACCACCACCACCACCGTCCAGGGCCCCGTGACAGCCCAGCCCCTCGTAGCCCCCACCATCACCACCACCGTCCAGGGGCTCCGTGACAGCCCAGCCCCTCGTAGCCCCCACCACCACCACCACCGTCCAGGAGCTCCGTGACCGCCAACCCCTCGTAGCCCCCACCACCACCACCACCGTCCAGGGGCTCCGTGACCGCCCACCCCTTCGTAGCCCCCACCACCACCACCACCGTCCAGGGGCTCCGTGACCGCCCACCCCCTTGTAGCCCCCACCACCACCACCACCGTCCAGGGGCTCCGTGACTGCCCACCCCCTCGTAGCCCCCACCACCACCACCACCGTCCAGGGGCCCCGTGACAGCCCAGCCCCTCGTAGCCCCCACCATCACCACCACCGTCCAGGGGCTCCGTGACAGCCCAGCCCCTCGTAGCCCCTACCACCACCACCACCGTCCAGGAGCTCCGTGACCGCCCACCCCCTCGTAGCCCCCACCACCACCACCACCGTCCAGGGGCTCCGTGACAGCCCACCCCCTCGTAGCCCCCACCACCACCACCACCGTCCAGGGGCTCCGTAACTGCCCACCCCCTCGTAGCCCCCACCACCACCACCACCGTCCAGGGCTCCGTGACAACCCAGCCCCTCGTAGCCCCACCACCGCCACCACCGTCCAGGGCTCCGTGACAACCCAGCCCCTCGTAGCCCCCACCACCACCACCGTCCAGGGGCTCCGTGACAGCCCACCCCCTCGTAGCCCCACCACCACCACCACCGTCCAGGGGCTCCGTAACTGCCCACCCCCTCGTAGCCCCCCACCACCACCACCGTCCAGGGGCTCCGTGACAGCCCACCCCCTCGTAGCCCCCACCACCACCACCACCGTCCAGGGGCTCCGTAACTGCCCACCCCCCCTCGTAGCCCCCACCACCACCACCGTCCAGGGGCTCCGTGACAACCCAGCCCCTCGTAGCCCCCACCACCACCACCACCGTCCAGGGGCTCCGTAAACTGCCCCCCCCTCGTAGCCCCCACCACCACCACCACCGTCCAGGGCTCCGTGACAGCCCACTCCCTCGTAGCCCCCACCACCACCACCGTCGTGGCAGAGCCTACTAGACGTTCCAGCCAGCCTGAGCCACGGCGGCGGAGGTGTGTGGTGGTGGAGGCTGGTGGCCGCAAGTCACCACAAATATGGCGACGGTGGGTGGCGAGGACTGGCCCGCCATGAGGCGCCGCGTCGCCTCCCGCCGCCTCCTACGGCTAAGTACAAAATTCTAACTATATTTCTCCTCTAACTAGATAATTATAAATTCAGCTAATTAGACTGAGTCTTGTTCAAATTCTAGAGGCACAGTGGGCGTCG